TCCTTTTGGAAAGTGTTACCTTGAAAAGGGATGACCCTACTTTCATCTTAATGCAATACAGAAGGGCTGTTAATTATTCACGACACCCCCCTCAATCCGCAACGGAAAAGGTCCCCCGTAGTTTGTCGGTACAGCACGTCATCAGCCAAAATTAGCACCAGCATCTTTTGTGTGGCAAGCACTTGGGTTTCTCCCACTCAAGAGATTCTATGAGGGTCTATGTATAGCCAGGACCAAGCCTCGGAATAGCTGCATGCTACAAAAGAGCCTCCAACAAAGCCGGACAAGATGGCGCTTTGAGATCCGTTTCTTCCTAGGCATGTATCAGGGCCACAGAACACAGTGCTTTGTTGTTTTTCCCCCTCTGGAGTTTAATGGCTGGTCTTGAAATAGGGCCTCCTTCACAAAAGAGTCCAAACCAAGCTTGACGAGGGGACTATGTGTTCTCCATGTTCCTTGACAAGCAGATATGGGTTCCAAGCTTAACAAACCCACTGTTTGGTTAACGCCTACTTGTGACACGTCACGTGAGCAGAGTCCGGCTCAGGTTCTGGCTCTGTTGAGGCTACATGAGACAGGCTTCCCCAGGCCTCAGAGGAGACCCTAGTCTGTCTTGACGCTAGCAGAGGTCACCTAGCCTCAACGAGTCTCATCCTGTCCTGACCACTAAACCCAACTGAAACAGTATTAATATATATCCTGTCCTGACCACTAAACCAGTATTAATATATCTCCTTTCCTGACCACTCAACCCAACTGAACCAGTATTAACATATCTCCTTTCCTGACCACTCAACCCAACTGAACCAGTATTAATATATATCCTGTCCTGACCACTAAACCCAACTGAACCAGTATTAATATATCTCTTGTCCTGACCACTAAACCGAACAGAAACAGTATTAATATATCTCCTGTCCTGACCACTAAACCCATCTGAACCAGTATTATGTGAGCCCTCCCTCCTCTCTCCCACTCTATCCAGCAGATTCAGACATAGCTGACTTGCAATATGCTGCCTTTGAGTTCTAAGAAGAGTGACGATGTTGGGCTGACCACTGCGTTCTGGAGGCAGCTCTGAGAGAGAAGAGTTGTTTAGAGTGAAAGTTGACTGGACTAGCGTTGGCATTGCCCTGCTGTCTCCCAGGTCCAGCCATGCGTCCAGCCATGCGTGTGTCCTACAGCGGCTGCACAGTTTGATCAGTCTCCGTCCTGCTCCACTAATGGAAATTGATCGCCACTTAGCGAGGGCCTTGTTGTGCTGAGGGGTCAAGTGACGTCAGCGCGGGTCCTGGTGTGCGCTTGGAACCAGTTGAGAGAGAGAGGCTTTCTGACAGTAAACAAACCAGTGTGATGTTTGAGGCGTAGCATGGTCACGCCATGTCTGGTCTTCTCCCTCCTGAAATCATACAGTGGACAGTACGGGGTGTCTCTCCACTGAACAACAGGAAGTCATAGAAGATGGCAAGGTGACATGGTCATCATCATAGCTTGATGTGAGACTTCCCAAGAGTCGTGTGACTGAAAGGGGTCAGAATTCATGTGACAAGATTTGCTTTTTCATCAGCAGAAGAAGAGAGAGGAAGGAACTGGTGTCTGTGGATAGACAGTGTGGTGGATAGACAGTATGGTGGATAGACAGTGTGGTGGATAGACAGTGTGGTGGATAGACAGTTGTGGATAGACAGTATGGTGGATAGACAGTATGGTGGATAGATAGTGTGGTGGATAGACAGTGTGGTGGATAGACAGTATGGTGGATAGACAGTGTGGTGGATAGACAGTGTGGTGGATAGACAGTATGGTGGATAGATAGTGTGGTGGATAGACAGTTTGTGGATAGAAGTTGGTGGATAGACAGTTGTGGATAGACAGTGTGGTGGATAGACAGTATTGTGGATAGATAGTGTGGTGGATAGAGTATTGGATAGAAGTGTGGTGGATAGACAGTATGGTGGATAGACAGTGTGGTGGATAGACAGTGTGGTGGATAGACAGTGTGGTGGATAGACAGTATTGTGGATAGATAGTGTGGTGGATAGACAGTATTGTGGATAGATAGTGTGGTGGATAGACAGTATGGTGGATAGACAGTGTGGTGGATAGACAGTATTGTGGATAGATAGTGTGGTGGATAGACAGTGTGGTGGATAGACAGTATGGTGGATAGACAGTTGTGTGGATAGACAGTGTGGTGGATAGACAGTATGGTGGATAGACAGTTGTGGATAGACAGTGTGGTGGATAGACAGTATGGTGGATAGACAGTGGTGGATAGACAGTGTGGTGGATAGACAGTATTGTGGATAGATAGTGTGGTGGATAGACAGTATTGTGGATAGATAGTGTGGTGGATAGACAGTATGTGGATAGAATGGTGATGCATGTGTGATAGACAGTGTGGTGGATAGACAGTATGGTGGATAGACAGTGTGGTGGATAGACAGTATTGTGGATAGATAGTGTGGTGTGGATAGAAGTGGATAGCAGTGTGGATAGATAGTGTGGTGGATAGACAGTATTGTGGATAGACAGTGTGGTGGATAGACAGTGTGGTGGATAGACAGTATGGTGGATAGACAGTGTGGTGGATAGACAGTGTGGTGGATAGACAGTGTGGTGGATAGACAGTATCATGCATACAGTCTGTGGTGATCAGACTGTCGCGGAGAAAGAGTAAGACAGATTCCAGTCTGGCTTTGTAGCTCTGAGCTCCAACATCACGTCGGCTCTGGAACCCCCCTCCCCCTCTCTCCCTCCCCACTCTCCCTGATCAGAAGTGACAGAGTGTGTGTGTGTGGGGGGGGGGGGGGGGGGGGGGGGGGGGGGGATTAAAACCAAAGTGAGTGTCAGCGCTGAGGGGGACATGTGTTGGGAGGGAGGGGGGAGGCCGTGGGGTATGATATCTTCCAAAACCTTCTGTCCAGTGCCATCTACTCTTTCAATCCTAAACCCACAGCCCAACTCACCCACCCAGGGCAACAACATATCTCCCAACAGCGGTGCCGTATAGCTGTAATCAAATCCTTTGTAATGCAGTAAACACTTTAAATCACCCAAATGTTAGCATGTTTATGAAAAGTGCATGGTTAGTTTAAATAATGGTTTTATATAATATATTTTTTACACAGGATAAACAATGACCATTTCTGTTTTTGAATTGTTATTCCTGTCTGAAAGCACAGATAAGTATTCTTATAAACCCATTTTATAAGCACATGAATTAATATTTTTTCTGACTGGCTTTCTGGCCATCAACTTAGTAACTAGATAACTAACAGATATCTTCCTTATCTCAATGCAAACACTTCAGGCCTTTTGATTGTTCCAAGGAGTGTGTATGGCTCCACCAGGGATCAGAGAACTAAAATCACTAGAGGCAGCGAGCGTTATGTTGACTCACTGAGGCACATTTATGTACAAAAGTTGAACAAGATTTGAAATAGTTTATCATAGTATTTTTTACGACTAATAAAACTTGAAACTTGTAAGCAAGTGAACATTATATGTGCGCTACAAAAACATGCTAAACAACAGCCTCTTGCTATGTGTGCACTTGAATTAAAGGGTAACTACACCCAAAAATCTAAACTTCTCAATTTTTTCCCAGACCTCAAAAGTGGTCTGATGTGGTTTAAGCATTGTTGTGGACACAAAGCCATGTCTGACCTTAATCCAATTAGCTGTTGTGTTGTCACTGGGTGCTGCCTGTTCAGTCTATTGCCTTTGTCCTGGGATGTGTTTGGTGGTGGGGTGGGGGTGGGGGCCGTCAGATTAATAACACCAGTTATTAACAGTTATTAACAACACGGAACAGGAGGGAGTTTGTGTCTAGGAAGTGGGATGGGGGGGCTGATTGTGCCCGTTGTGAGTAGTCCAGCATGCTCCGAACCGGAGAATTGATGGCCACCTGCCCTATCTGCACCCTGCAGCATTATTGGATGATTACCTTTGATTAGATTTCAGTGGCTTCTTGCATGCCATCCCCGCCCTTACACCAAACAGCCTCACACATCACATCGGACACATCCTTTGTATCTCTCTCACAGTTTTCAGGGACACAGAATACGCTATTACAGTTCATACAGTTCATTCTGTACAAGTTGACGTCTGTATTGGAGTCTCAGCTTGCTTTTCAACATCTCCATCTGTCCATTGTGTCTATGTTCAACATCTCCATCTGTCCATTGTGTCTATGTTCAACATCTCCATCTGTCCATTGTGTCAATGTTCAACATCTCCATCTGTCCATTGTGTCTATGTTCAACATCTCCATCTGTCCATTGTGTCTATCTGAAACATCTCCATCTGTCCATTGTGTCTATGTTCAACATCTCCATCTGTTCATTGTGTCTATGTTCAACATCTCCATCTGTCCATTGTGTCTATGTTCAACATCTCCATCTGTCCATTGTGTCTATCTGAAACATCTCCATCTGTCCATTGTGTCCATCTGAAACATCTCCATCTGTCCATTGTGTCTATCTGAAACATCTCCATCTGTCCATTGTGTCTATCTGAAACATCTCCATCTGTCCATTGTGTCTATGTTCAACATCTCCATCTGTCCATTGTGTCTATCTGAAACATCTCTATCTGTCCATTGTGTCTATGTTCAACCCTATCTGTCCATTGTGTCTATGTTCAACATCTCCATCTGTCCATTGTGTCTATGTTCAACATCTCCATCTGTCCATTGTGTCTATCTGAAACATCTCCATCTGTCCATTGTGTCTATCTGAAACATCTCCATCTGTCCATTGTGTCTATGTTCAACATCTCCATCTGTCCATTGTGTCTATGTTCAACATCTCCATCTGTCCATTGTGTCTATGTTCAACATCTCCATCTGTCCATTGTGTCTATGTTCAACATCTCCATCTGTCCATTGTGTCTATCTGAAACATCTCCATCTGTCCATTGTGTCTATCTGAAACATCTCCATCTGTCCATTGTGTCTATCTGAAACATCTCCATCTGTCCATTGTGTCTATCTGCAGGTGAAGGATGAGAATAAGATCCAGGAGGTGGTTGACCTGACGGACTACGAGCGTTCTGAGGAGCTCCGCAAGGCCAAGAGCCGCAGCAAGAAAAACCACAGCAAGTTCACCCTGCTGCGCTCCAGAATCCCAGGCAATACGGTGAGTCCACCGGAAGTCCCCACATGAACCCAGATCTAGAACCTTGCAAAGAGCAAACCTGTACCTCAAAGTACTGTACCACAATAGCAACACAATCAATACTTACATCTAAAACACACTGTTGAGATGAGTTTCACGGTACTTTAGCCGGCTATTAACATAGTCAGATCGGTTACAGCAGCCAGATTGACAAGCTGATTGACACTCACCTGACCCGGCTCACCGGACCGGGCCACCACACTGTACACCCTGTCCTTAGTCATTAGCTATGTTCCTCTTTGACTCTACTTAGCTCCTCCCACCTCCTATGTCTCTGCCCAGAGACAATGTCCTCCCTCTGTTCCCTCCCTCTGTTCCCTCCCTCTGTTCCCTCCCTCTGTTCCCTCCCTATGTTCCCTCCCTCTGTTCCCTCCCTCTGTTCCCTCCCTCTGTTCCCTCCCTATTCCCTCCCTCTGTTCCCTCCCTCTGTTCCCTCCCTCTGTTCCCTCCCTCTGTTCCCTCTATTCCCTCCCTCTGTTCCCTCCCTCTGTTCCCTCCTTGTTCCTCCCTCTGTTTCCCTCCTATGTTCCCTCCCTCTGTTCCCTCCCTATGTTCCCTCCCTCTGTTCCCTCCCTCTGTTCCCCCTTCCCTCTATCCCCTTGTTACCCTGTCCTCAACCTTTGTTCCCTCCCTGTTCCCTCCCTCTGTTCCGTCCCTATTTCCCTCCTTGTTTCCCTTTTCCCTCTTGTTCCCTCCCTCTGTCCTCCTCTGTTCCCTCCCTTTTCCCTCCCTCTGTTCCCCCTCCCTCTGTTCCCCCCTCTGTTCCCTCTATTCCCTCCCTCTGTCCCCTCCCTCTGTTCCCTCCTCTATTCCCTCCCTCTGTTCCCTCCTCTGTTCCCTCCCTCTGTTCCCCTCCCTTGTTCCCTCCCTCTGTTCCCTCCCCTCTGTCCTCTGTTCCCTCCCTCTGTTCCCTCTATTCCCTCCCTCTGTTCCCTCCTCTGTTCCCTCTATTCCCTCCCTCTGTTCCCTCCCTCTTTCCCTCTGTTCCCTCCCTCTATTCCCTCCCTCTGTTCCCTTTATTCCCTCCCTCTGTTCCCTCCCTCTATTCCCTCCCTCTGTTCCCTCCCTCTATTCCCTCCCTCTGTTCCCTCCCTATGTTCCCTCCCTCTGTTCCCTCCCTCTGTTCCCTCCCTCTGTTCCCTCCCTCTGTTCCCTCCCTCTGTTCCCTCTATTTCCCTCCCTCTGTTCCCTCCCTCTATTCCCTCCCTCTGTTCCCTCCCTCTGTTCCCTCCCTCTGTTCCCTCTATTCCCTCCCTCTGTTCCCTCCCTCTGTTCCCTCCCTCTGTTCCCTCTGTTCCCTCCCTCTGTTCCCTCCCTCTGTTCCCTCTGTTCCCTCCCTCTGTTTCCCTCCCTCTGTTCCCTCCCTCTGTTCCCTCCCTCTGTTCCCTCCCTCTGTTCCCTCCCTCTATTCCCTCCCTCTTTTTCCCCTCCCTCTATTCCCTCCCTCTTTTCCCTCCCTCATCCCCCTCCCTCTGTTCCCTCCCTCTGTTCCCTCCCTCTGTTCCCTCCCTCTGTTCCCTCCCTCTGTTCCCTCCCTTTCACAGGGACATTGTGTTCCAGACTCACCACACCTCCAACTCCTACACCCAGTATATGATCACCAACGCTGATTGACAGACTAACTTGAGAAACAGAGTGAAAGTGTCACATTTCCAATGCTTGTAGACCATTTGAAATCTGACAGTTTACCAGTCCAGTTCACCTTTGATACATGAAAAGGCTCTTATGGTGAGGCAGTGATTCCCCCATGTCCCCTACACACACTAGTGATGGGCATTTGACGTTTTTTTTATGTTTGCGTACTCTTATTTTTTTTTCGAGTACTAAATCATTATTTTCTTTTATATGTAGAACACAAGGCCCGCACAGGAAAAAAAGATGTGCCCATTAATCTATAGGCCTAACTTGAATGATGCTTGGCTAGGTTTCTTTTTTGTTGTGCCCTGCAAATGCACATGTACAAATGGAACACTAGAGTCAAAGCAAATTAACGTTGTCTTCAAGACAACAAAACATTTCCACACAACATTTCTCTTTCCTGTTCGGGCAGCCACAAAGCACAATCCAAAAAATAGTTTTACAGTAATATTATTATTTTTTATCTCTGGTTAAAGATCAAGCTTTGACTTCCGTTTGAGTACTCGATAACTCATGCCCATCCCTAACACACACATGCACTCACAAAGCGGCACACACACACGTGCTTATACACACGTGCTTGCACACGCACACACCATCTGCAGGCTCTCCCAGAACTCCCCAGAGCAGCAGGAGGATAGAGTATCATGTTGGGTTGTCAGGCCAGGAAGCTTGTGTTTCAGCACACAGACAGACACAGACTGAGAGAGATTCTCAGATTCTCCACACAGCTGCAGTTTCCTGTAGCCACAGTGGGAGAAAGAGCACCATATGGTCATATCTGTCTGTGAATGTGTGCGTGAGTGAATGGGTTTCTGGAATGGTACCTATCTGAAGGTATCCCTTACAAGTGGTTTACTGAGAACTATGCATGTTAGGATTTTCCACACTCCCTTCATGCTCAGTAACACAATATTGTGCAAGGCCCTGGCTTCTTACATTCCCTCTCTCTCTCTCCTTTGTGTCTGTCAGGTCCCTAACCTAGTGTTCCTGGCTGTTAGTCCAGAGGAGAAGGAGTCCTGGATAAACGCCTTAAATGGAGCAATTACCAGATCCAAGAACAGCATCCTGGATGAGGTGAGACACACCCCTCAGTGCACCTCCCCTCTCTTTCCCCTCTTCTTCTCTCTGTAGCTTTATAATCTCTTTCCCCTCTTACTCTCTCTGTAGCTTTATAATATCTTTCCCCTCTTCTTCTGTCTGCAGCTTTATAATCTCTTTCCCCTCTTCCTCTCTCTGTAGCTTTATAATATATTTCCCCTCTTCTTCTCTGTGTGGTTTTATAATCTCTTTCCCCTCTTCCTCTCTCTGTAGCTTTATAATCTATTTCCCCTCTTCCTCTCTCTGCAGCTTTATAATCTCTTTCCCCTATTTCTCTCTCTGTAGCTTTATAATATCTTTCCCCTCTTCCTCTCTCTGTAGCTTTATAATATCACACAGCTTTAGATGGCCCAAACTTTACAGGTCCCTATCACACAGCTATGGCCCAATCTTTACAGGTCCCTATCACAAAGCTATAGATGGCCCAAACTTTACAGGTCCCTATCACACAGCTATAGATGGCCTTTATAATATCTTTCCCCTCTTCTTCTCTGTGTGGCTTTATTATCTATTTCCCCTCTTCCTCTCTCTGTAGCTTTATAATCTCTTTCCCCTCTTCTTCTCTCTGTAGCTTTATAATATATTTCCCCTCTTCCTCTCTCTGTAGCTTTATAATCTCTTTCCCCTCTTCCTCTCTCTACAGCTTTATAATCTCTTTCCCCTCTTCCTCTCTCTGTAGCTTTATAATATCACACAGCTATAGATGGCCCAAACTTTACAGGTCCCTATCACACAGCTATAGATGGCCCAAACTTTACAGGTCCCTATCACACAGCTATAGATGGCCTTTATAATATCTTTCCCCTCTTCTTCTCTGTGTGGCTTTATAATCTCTTCCCCCTCTTCCTCTCTCTGTAGCTTTATAATCTCTTTCCCCTCTTCCTCTCTATGTAGCTTTATAATATCTTTCCCCTCTTCCTCTCTCTGTAGCTTTATAATATCACACAGCTTTAGATGGCCCAAACTTTACAGGTCCCTATCACACAGCTATGGCCCAATCTTTACAGGTCCCTATCACAAAGCTATAGATGGCCCAAACATTACAGGTCCCTATCACACAGCTATAGATGGCCCAAACTTTACAGGTCCCTATCACACAGCTATAGATGGCCTTTATAATATCTTTCCCCTCTTCTTCTCTGTGTGGCTTTATTATCTATTTCCCCTCTTCCTCTCTCTGTAGCTTTATAATCTATTTCCCCTCTTCCTCTCGCTGTAGCTTTATAATCTCTTTCCCCTCTTCCTCTCTCTGCAGCGTTATAATCTATTTCCCCTCTTCCTCTCTCTGTAGCTTTATAATATCACACAGCTATAGATGGCCCAAACTTTACAGGTCCCTATCACACAGCTATAGATGGCCCAAACATTACAGGTCCCTATCACACAGCTATAGATGGCCCAAACTTTACAGGTCCCTATCACACAGCTATAGATGGCCCAAACATTACAGGTCCCTATCACACAGCTATAGATGGCCCAAACTTTACAGGTCCCTATCACACAGCTATAGATGGCCTTTATAATATCTTTCCCCTCTTCCTCTCTCTGTGGCTTTATAATCTCTTTCCCCTCTTCCTCTCTCTGTAGCTTTATAATATTTTTCCCCTCTTCATCTCTCTGTAGCTTTATAATCTCTTCCCCCTCTTCCTCTCTCTGTAGCTTTATAATATCTTTCCCCTCTTCTTCTCTGTGTGGCTTTATAATCTCTTCCCCCTCTTCCTCTCTCTGTAGCTTTATAATATATTTCCCCTCTTCCTCTCTCTGTAGCTTTATAATCTCTTTCCCCTATTCCTCTCTCTGTAGCTTTATAATATATTTCCCCTATTCCTCTCTCTGTAGCTTTATAATATCACACAGCTTTAGATGGCCCAAACTTTACAGGTCCCTATCACACAGCTATAGATTGCCCAAACTTTACAGGTCCCTATCAAACAGCTATGGCCCAATCTTTACAGGTCTCTATCACAAAGCTATAGATGGCCCAAACTTTACAGGTCCCTATCACAAAGCTATAGATGGCCCAGACTTTACAGGTCCCTATCACACAGCTATAGATGGCCCAAACTTTACAGGTCCCTATCACACAGCTATAGATGGCCTTTATAATATCTTTCCCCTCTTCTTCTCTGTGTGGCTTTATAATCTCTTTCCCCTCTTCCTCTCTCTGTAGCTTTGTAATCTCTTTCCCCTCTTCCTCTCTTTGTAGCTTTATAATATATTTCCCCTCTTCCTCTCTCTGTAGCTTTATAATCTCTTCCCCCTCTTCCTCTCTCTGTAGCTTTATAATCTATTTCCCCTCTTCCTCTCTATGTAGCTTTATAATATCTTTCCCCTCTTCCTCTCTCTGTAGCTTTATAATATCACACAGCTTTAGATGGCCCAAACTTTACAGGTCCCTATCACACAGCTATGGCCCAATCTTTACAGGTCCCTATCACAAAGCTATAGATGGCCCAAACATTACAGGTCCCTATCACACAGCTATAGATGGCCCAAACTTTACAGGTCCCTATCACACAGCTATAGATGGCCTTTATAATATCTTTCCCCTCTTCTTCTCTGTGTGGCTTTATTATCTATTTCCCCTCTTCCTCTCTCTGTAGCTTTATAATCTATTTCCCCTCTTCCTCTCGCTGTAGCTTTATAATCTCTTTCCCCTCTTCCTCTCTCTGCAGCGTTATAATCTATTTCCCCTCTTCCTCTCTCTGTAGCTTTATAATATCACACAGCTATAGATGGCCCAAACTTTACAGGTCCCTATCACACAGCTATAGATGGCCCAAACATTACAGGTCCCTATCACACAGCTATAGATGGCCCAAACTTTACAGGTCCCTATCACACAGCTATAGATGGCCCAAACATTACAGGTCCCTATCACACAGCTATAGATGGCCCAAACTTTACAGGTCCCTATCACACAGCTATAGATGGCCTTTATAATATCTTTCCCCTCTTCTTCTCTGTGTGGCTTTATAATATCTTTCCCCTCTTCCTCTCTCTGTAGCTTTATAATCTCTTTCCCCTCTTCCTCTCTCTGTGGCTTTATAATCTCTTTCCCCTCTTCCTCTCTCTGTAGCTTTATAATATTTTCCCCCTCTTCATCTCTCTGTAGCTTTATAATCTCTTCCCCTCTTCCTCTCTGTAGCTTTATAATATCTTTCCCCTCTTCTCTCTGTGTGGCTTTATAATATTTCTTTCCCCTCTTCCTCTCTCTGTAGCTTTATAATCATATTTCCCCTCTTCCTCTCTCTGTAGCTTTATAATCTTTTCCCCCTATTCCCTCTCTCTGTAGCTTTATAATCTCTTTCCCCTATTCCCTCTCTGTAGCTTTATAATATCACACAGCTTTTAGATGGCCCAAAACTTTACAGGTCCCTATCACACAGCTATAGATTGCCCAAACTTTACAAGGTCCCTATCAAACAGCTATGGCACCAAATCTTTACAGGTCTCTATCACCAAGCTATAGATGGCCCAAAACTTTACAGGTCCCTATCACAAAGCTATAGATGGCACAGACTTTACAGGTCCCTATCACACAGCTATAGATGGCCCAAACTTTACAGGTCCCTATCAACACAGCTATAGATGGCCTTTATAATATCTTTCCCCTCTTCTTCTCTGTGTGGCTTTATAATCTCTTTCCCTCTTCCTCTCTCTGTAGCTTTATAATCTCTTTCCCCTCTTCCTCTCTCTGTAGCTTTATAATATATATTCCCTCTTCCCCCTGCTTAATCTTCCCCTCTTCCTCTCTGTAGCTTTATAATATCTTTCCCCTCTTCTTCTCTGTGTGGCTTTATAATCTCTTCCCCCTCTTCCTCTCTCTGTAGCTTTATAATCTCTTTCCCCTCTTCCTCTCTCTGTGGCTTTATAATCTATTTCCCCTCTTCCTCTCTCTGTAGCTTTATAATATATTTCCCCTCTTCCTCTCTCTGTAGCTTTATAATCTCTTTCCCCTATTCCTCTCTCTGTAGCTTTATAATATCACACAGCTTTAGATGGCCCAAACTTTACAGGTCCCTATCACACAGCTATAGATTGCCCAAACTTTACAGGTCCCTATCAAACAGCTATGGCCCAATCTTTACAGGTCTCTATCACAAAGCTATAGATGGCCCAAACTTTACAGGTCCCTATCACAAAGCTATAGATGGCCCAGACTTTACAGGTCCCTATCACACAGCTATAGATGGCCCAAACTTTACAGGTCCCTATCACACAGCTATAGATGGCCTTTATAATATCTTTCCCCTCTTCTTCTCTGTGTGGCTTTATAATCTCTTTCCCCTCTTCCTCTCTCTGTAGCTTTATAATCTCTTTCCCCTCTTCCTCTCTCTGTAGCTTTATAATATATTTCCCCTCTTCCTCTCTCTGTAGCTTTATAATCTCTTCCCCCTCTTCCTCTCTCTGTAGCTTTATAATATATTTCCCCTCTTCTTCTCTGTGTGGCTTTATAATCTCTTCCCCCTCTTCCTCTCTCTGTAGCTTTATAATCTCTTTCCCCTCTTCCTCTCTCTGTGGCTTTATAATCTATTTCCCCTCTTCCTCTCTCTGTAGCTTTATAATATATCTTCCCTCTTCCTCTCTCTGTAGCTTTATAATCTCTTTCCCCTATTCCTCTCTCTGTAGCTTTATAATATCACACAGCTTTAGATGGCCCAAACTTTACAGGTCCCTATCACACAGCTATAGATTGCCCAAACTTTACAGGTCCCTATCAAACAGCTATGGCCCAATCTTTACAGGTCTCTATCACAAAGCTATAGATGGCCCAAACTTTACAGGTCCCTATCACAAAGCTATAGATGGCCCAGACTTTACAGGTCCCTATCACACAGCTATAGATGGCCCAAACTTTACAGGTCCCTGTAACACAGCTATAGAGTGCCCAGACTTTACAGGTCCCTATCACACAGCTATAGATGGCCCAAACTTTACAGGTTCCTATCGCAAAGCTATAGATGGCCCACACTTTACAGGTCCCTATCACACAGCTATAGTGGGGGGGGAAAGTATTTAGTCAGCCACCAATTGTGCAAGTTCTCCCACTTAAAAAGATGAGAGAGGCCTGTAATTTTCATCATAGGTACACGTCAACTATGACAGACAAAATGAGGAATAAAAATCCAGAAAATCACATTGGCCCATTCCTCCATGCAGATCTCCTCTAGAGCAGTGATGTTTTGGGGCTGTCGCTGGGCAACACGGACTTTCAACTCCCTCCAAAGATTTTCTATGGGGTTGAGATCTGGAGACTGGCTAGGCCACTCCAGGACCTTGAAATGCTTCTTACAAAGCCACTCCTTCGTTGCCCGGGCGGTGTGTTTGGGATCATTGTCATGCTGAAAGACCCAGCCACGTTTCATCTTCAATGCCCTTGCTGATGGAAGGAGGTTTTCACTCAAAATCTCACGATACATGGCCCCTTTCATTCTTTCCTTTACACGGATCAGTCGTCCTGGTCCCTTTGCAGAAAAACAGCCCCAAAGCATGATGTTTCCACCCCCATGCTACATAGTAGGTATGGTGTTCTTTGGATGCAACTCAGCATTCTTTGTCCTCCAAACACGACGAGTTGAGTTTTTACCAAAAAGTTCTATTTTGGTTTCATCTGACCATATGACATTCTCCCAATCCTCTTCTGGATCATCCAAATGCACTCTAGCAAACTTCAGACAGGCCTGGACACGTCTGGCACTGCAGGATTTGAGTCCCTGGCGGCGTAGTGTGTTACTGATGGTAGGCTTTGTTACTTTGGTCCCAGCTCTCTGCAGGTCATTCACTAGGTCCCCCCGTGTGGTTCTGGGATTTTTGCTCACCGTTCTTGTGATCATTTTGACCCCACGGAGTGAGATGTTGCGTGGAGCCCCAGATCGAGGGAGATTATCAGTGGTCTTGTATGTCTTCCATTTCCTAATAATTGCTCCCACAGTTGATTTCTTCAAACCAAGCTGCTTACCTATTGCAGATTCAGTCTTCCCAGCCTGGTGCAGGTCTACAATTTTGTTTCTGGTGTCCTTTGACAGCTCTTTGGTCTTGGCCATAGTGGAGTTTGGAGTGTGACTGTTTGAGGTTGTGGACAGGTGTCTTTTATACTGATAACAAGTTCAAACAGGTGCCATTAATACAGGTAACGAGTATAGGACAGAGGAGCCTCTTAAAGAAGAAGTTACAGGTCTGTGAGAGCCAGAAATCTTGCTTGTTTGTAGGTGACCAAATACTTATTTTCCACCATAATTTGCAAATAAATTCATTAAAAATCCTACAATGTGATTTACTGGAAAACATTTTCTCATTTTGTCTGTCATAGTTGACGTGTACCTATGATGAAAATTACAGGCCTCTCTCATCTTTTTAAGTGGGAGAACTTGCACAATTGGTGGCTGACTAAATACTTTTTTTCCCCACTGTATGGCCCAAACTTTACAGGTCCCTATCACACAGCTATAGATGGCCCAAACTTTACAGGTCCCTATCACACAGCTATAAATAGGAGAAGCAGAAACACTCTCACTCTGACTATCCAAATCCATGACATCACTGTTAAAGAAACAGAATGAATATAGAATTGAGCGACTTTCACATAAAAAACTAACATTTTAGAGGACAAATGGTCAGGCGTGTGGATGGGCTCAGAACAACAGCACCAGCACTGTGAGAGGTATCAGTTACCTCCAGGGCTCCAGTGTCTCTGCTGCTCAATAGCCTGATGACATCAGAGACGGGACTCACTCTTCCATCAGGATGGGGTTTCATTGCTCTCAACTGTAGGGTTATCGCAGGTGGAGTCCTACATGATGGTACACACATACTGTAGATCTATGTTGATAAAACCGCATTGAATCACAATTTAGCATTGTTTGAAAGTGTTGTGTACAAATAATGTATGTGTATATTAGCTAACCTAGTGCCCTTAAATACACCCTTATACTGAACGCATTACCCTGACAAGACATCCTCCAAAATTCTATTCAATCTGTGGATTCCTCCTGGTCGGCTGTACCACATAGAAATGCTAGATTGACTTTAGAATATTGTCCTACAATAGATGCACTAGATACATGTTGACAATTGGATTTGGGACAATTGCTGATCCGAGGTTTTTGTCAAAGGAAGATGAACAAGACATCTGGATGAGTATGGGCTTTGTCATTGGTTGTCATGTCAGAAAGCAATAAGGCAGGTCATAGCTGTAACTGCATACTTTCCATGATTGTGGAGCGACAAGCTAACAAAATAACACTGTAGTATGTTTGGCAGAACATAACAGCTGCATGCATCATATAATCACCATTTAAACCCACTCTGTGTTATGTCCAACACCGGAGATGGATAATGGATCATGTTGGCAAACAAATGAAATCCTTTAAAGCTTGAGGAATGAGTGGTACTTTGCTGTAATGGAATGACTCTACTTTGCCTGCACCCAAAACCCCTAACCACCCCTCTAAAACCCCTAACACCCCTCTAAAACCCCTAACCTCCCCTCTAAAACCCCCAACCGCCCCTCTAAAACCCCTAACCTCCCCTCTAAAACCCCCAACCGCCCCTCTAAAACCCCTAACCACCCCTCTAAAACCCCTAACCACCCCTCTAAAACCCCTAACCACCCCTCTAAAACCCCTAACCACCTCCCCTCTAAAACCCCCAACCTCCCCTCTAAAACCCCCAACCACCCCTCTAAAAACCGCCCCTCTAAAACCCCTAACCGCCCCTCTAAAACCCCTAACCTCCCCTCTAAAACCCCTAACCTCCCCTCTAAAACCCCTAACCTCCCCTCTAAAACCCCTAACCGCCCCTCTAAAACACCTAACCTCCATTTCCTAAAATACAGATAAGCCACATGTTGTCACATAAAGACCTAAATTCAATACTCAACCCCATGACTCTGTATTGAGGACACAAGGCTCTTAGGGTGGGTGACTGGGTGTAGTCACAGGGCACATATTCTGGTCTGCTCCATATTTTCTCCTTCCACCTGATAATGTAAATGGTTAAAAGCTTTCAGATGCAATTGACAATATGACTTTGATATTAGACATAAAATCCCAGCGGATAAAAGATTACATTGCTTAGTCCTACTAGCCAGTGAATAAACGACACTCCAGCTGAACTTGCTTCATCAGTGGAGACGGTGTTATCACTAGATGACAGTGTAGAGGTGTTGGTCGTCAGTGTGGCTATAGGTTAGCTATAGGTTAGCTATAGGTTAGCGGCCTGTTTCCCAAGGCCTTATGCAATATGTTGTGGCCCATTTCGCCCAGTGAATCACATGCCTGTAGATAATCAATCAATGATTAGGCCGATAATAATGATCAATAAACTACCCAACCCACTCCAACACAAACACAGCCCTCAGGCTAATGTGAAAGCATGTCAATCCCCTCACTCCACGTGACTGTTTCATTATCTCTCTCTCTCTCTCTCTCTCTCTCTCTCTCTCTCTCTCTCTCTCTCTCTCTCTCTTGTTCTCTTTCTTTCTCTCTTTCTTTCTTTCTTTTCTTTCTTCTTTCTTTCTTTCTTTCTTTCTTTCTTTCTTTCTTTCTTTCTTTCTTTCAGGTCATGGTTGAGGATGAAAACCTTCTGTCCCATCTCACACGGGACCGGGCTAAGATCCCTCACACACGGCGCCTGCCTACACGAGGACACATCATGGCTGTGGTAGGTATCCTGCTTCTCCTGGCCTGTCTTGTCTTATGTCTCCTTATTACCACAACGGCTGGTTGGAGACAATTCCAACTCGGTCAATTGAGCTTTAATTCAATGAGTCAGTTGGACATGGTAATGATCAAACTACTTTCAACAGGGATTTTTGATTAGTTTAATCCGATTCATTTCCTACCTTAACTAAATCACAATGGGCCTTACCCTGATCTCAGTCTTTCTCACTGTGTCTGATATCACTAACAGACTGTTTCTCCCTGCTCCGTATCCAGACCTCCACTTCTACCTCTGACGGCATGTTGACCCTTGACCTGATCCAGGAGGAGGCCAGCCCCAGCACAGACGGCCAGGACACCTGTGACAAGAGCTTCCGGGTCAACCTGGACAAATCCACCCAGCTCGATTGCCTCAGGTCCAAAACAGAGGGTGCCATCAGTAGCATCTGCCTAGCGACTCCCGCAGAGGTCACTGGGAAGTCCCAGAGTCTGCCGCGCGATACCGCGGTAGCCTGGGACGATAAACAGCAACTTCAGAGCCCGATGGAGAAATCCTGCACCCCTCAGCCGGGCAAGAGGCTCACATCGGCCGAGAAAAGCCGCTGCGCCTCCATGGACGAGATCCTCTCGCACTCCGAGACACGGGCCACCAAACCCAGGACATCCCTCCCCCGCTCTGCGACCTCCGCCCCCCTGGGCAACCTGCCGCCCATCAGCCAGCTGCAGGACCTCATCGCTCAGAAGCTGGAGAGAACTCAGGAGCTGCTGACGGAGGTGCAGGGGGCGAAGGGGGAGGAGGTGCAGGGGGCGAAGGGGGAGGAGGTGCAGGGGGCGAAGGGGAAAGGGAAGGACTCGCCAGGTTCCAAGGGCTCCAGGGGTTCCTCAGACATGGCCCGGGCGGAGGCTGAGAGGCTGCTGAAGGAGGCAGCGTCCACATGGGGTCAGGCCAAGGAGGTTCTAGAGGAGGTGAAGGAGCTGAGGGCGCTCTATCGTCAGCTGGACTCTCTGCCCACCACCCCCACCTCCCTATCACCCCTCACGCCCTCCAACAGTGGCAAGCAGACTGACTACAGGAAGAGCATGATGTGACCGTCAGAGAACTCAACACAGACTTGACTATGAATCCCTCAGCAAAAGAAAACTACTAAACATGCAAAGCCACAATATTGTAAAATATGTCTGTTTCTCCCCTTCTGTGTCCTTTCACTTTATTGATGCTGTGACAAAGTGAGGACATTCAGTTGCCCAACGACGTCCCCTGTGGTTAACCATTGTGCCCTTACATGTCTGCTTGATGAAGGGTGTGGGGGGCAATCTAGGGTCTGAGGTACATGTTGGCCAGGGAGTCCAGTAGAGATCCTGTCTCTCTGTACTGACCGGCTGCTGAAAGACCTTGTGATACTGCAGTGTCAGGTTTTTCTCTCGATGTTTTCCTCTGCATTGGTTGTCAAAGAGGGGATGTTCCACATGTAGGGTTTGGCCGGGGAATCAGAAGGGCTCTCCTCTCCAGGGATAGACACACAGTGGTTGAGGAAAACTCAGATTAGAGGAAGGGAAACATGGTGTCCAGACCGGCCCTGCATGTTGGGAATGTGAATGTTTTCCTTTTTCTGTTACACAACACACTGGAAGGTTGGTCTGAGCCAGATTCCCAACGAGCACCGCTCAAAAACCAACAGCAGTCCACTGTACACAGTACAGTACACCAGCCCTCCCTCCCTCCCTCTGCTGCTGCTCTGGGAATGGAGCTCAGCGGCATCCTCATCTCTGCTGGTCCATTATGATTCACAGGGACAAGGGGAGGTCGGGGAACCAGTTCACAGAGTCAGAACGCACTGGCGTTCCATAGGGTGTTTCTGTCTGTTCCATGAGCCATATGACACGGTCAAAATGGAGGACGTCTGTCTGGGTTGTGTTGTTACTAGATGGTACATACTAGGACAGGGCTGTTCCTTTCCTGTAGGCCTACAGCCAGTTGTCTTCAGCCAGTTGCCACTGCAGCCATTGTTTCGCCTGCTACTGTAGAGCCATGGAGCCGGGATGGTGTCTGTGTGTGTCTGGTATGAGTGGTGATTATCATGCTACTGTAGAGCCATGGAGCCGGGATGGTGTCTGTGTGTGTCTGGTATGAGTGGTGATTATCATGCTACTGTAGAGCCATGGAGCTGGGATGGCGTCTGTGTGTGTGTATGGTATGAGTGGGAGACGTGACATAGAGGTCAGATGCAGTACTGAGGAGAGGAACCACTTGTAAGTGATTTGCTAAAATAGTAATAATAACAGAATTGCACTATAAAGGAAGGCTGTAAAACAAGAGGATGAAACTGGCGGGTAGAAACTGGAGAGAACAGATGTGTCTAATATGGCTTTTCACTCTGTTCTACATATTTGTTACGACAAGCTACTGTGTCTAGAAACATACAGACTGCACAGTTCCAACACCTTGATACCTAAGACAGTCACTCGGCTCGCTACTGTTTGAAAATCTGAGCTTTTCAAAGGTACAATGTGTGTAAACAATGCTGTTGATGAATACATCCCTCCGGCTAGCTAACAGTGATGCTAATGCTTGACCTCTGACCTCCATGTCCTACTTAAGGTCTTATAGGGTTTATGTCAGAGAAGAGAGAGAGAGAGAGAGCGAGAGAGAGAGAGAGCGAGAGAGAGAGAGAGAGAGAGAGAGAGAGAGAGAGAGAGAGAGAGAGAGAAGAGAGAGAGAAGCAGCCAATGAACAGTGCGCCTCGCCAGAGCACCCCGCCTTGTTTTATAGTCAGTAGCTAACTAACGTATGTTATGTGTTTGCACAGTACTGTGGAAATGGTTCGCTCTGGACTGTCAAACAGACAAAAAAAACAGTGTTATGATTATGTTATTATCATTGTTTGTGTTTTTTATTTGTTTAAAATGCTTTTGTAGGATGATTTAAGGCAGGCTTTAGAGAACAAAATAGGCAGGGCATTCTAGAACTTTCACGCTCTTAGAATGCTCAACTTGAAACTATGCATATTGTAGTTTTATTCTGTTTGTTCAACCAACCACAACCCAATAACAGAAGGCAAAAATCATTGAAGTTGGATTTTATGAATGGACATAAAAGAGGGTGAGGTGAGAAAGATGTTAGAAAGAAGACAACAGAAAACAAAGCTTTCCCCAGGAAACATTTAACTGAATAGGCCATAAACAATATTTTTACTAGTACGTCTATTATTGTTGGTGTCATTTAGTTTTATCTGGGATGAAGTACTATCTTGTGTGAGGCTGAACACAAAACCTAATGTTTGTGCAATCCTGAAAAGATTGATATGACCCCCGATGCACTGTACATTCTTGGAGCAGTTTTAATCATCTCAAAGGATGTTGCTGTATTTGCTTATTGCGTTGCATTATGATGGAAACGGAAGTGGCTTTGCTTTGCACTGAAGTTCATCACTTCTGGACTTTCAAAGTACTTGAGACACAACCACTTGTGCAATTATAACAATCAGCCTAATTCAGACAACCATTGTTCTACATTGAATGTTTGCTTTTTTAAGTCAAAACCTAGCCGAGAATTGTAATAAAATGATTTTGTATGTCCTTTCAGAAGAATGCCCTACTGGAATATAGGGGTGGTTTTCATAGGAAATGCTGAGGTAGGAAGTGATTGATCCAAGCATTGTATTTATGGCAGCAATAATACCATCTTCAAGCTATGCCAAAGATAATATGGCTGTACAAGGTAAAAAAAACTATTCCCATTGAAATACATTGATAATGTAAATAAGAATGTTTCATATTTTCTAGTTGACAATGTAAACATCAGCCTACTTGTTCTGACAACCTTTTCACATGTGTGTGAAATGGTTGGTCACACCGACTCCAACCTAAACAATCCATCAAACACCAAAACAACTTAACCTCTTCTACATCTGGCAATGCATTCTGGGATATAATAATAATATATGCAGACACTCTAATCGAAAGCGATTTACAGTCATGCATGCATCCATTTTACGTATGGGTGGCCCCTGGAATCGAACCCACAACCATGGCGGTGCAAGCACCATGCTCTACCAACTGATCCATACAGGACCAGGATACAGGAGGTGTGGTCACAAGTTGTGAAATCCAGCCAATATTGGCCACACATGGTCACACAAAAACGCATAACATTCAATCATGAGTTAATTCTGTAAGGTGAAATGTCTTCCTTCTTTTTATGTATGATATGTTTATGTTGTCATATTTTCAGTTTCCCTTCCAATTTTGTTCACCAAATGTGGGTCTGGCACCAAACAGTAGCTACCGCAGCCTTAAATACCAAGAGGATTATAGGAAAGTTACTCAGCAACTACAATGATTGTCCCCCAGCCATTTACAAAATCCTAATTCTTGTACATTATGGATGAGATGAAGATTGTACCATAGGAATACAATAGCAGAGTATGAGCTAGGTGGATTACTTGATGGAAATGGAGAAGGAATTGTACACAGACTCAGAGGTTTAAATCCTGCTCGCTCAGGGTTCCATTTTAATAAATTGTGCTAAACAAAAGAAATGGAGGATTACTTTCTTTATTTTTAACCAAATCAGTTCAAGACCGCCGCCTAGAGCATTTAAAACGACACTCACTCACACTCTCTCTCCCAGTCTGTAGATATGTACATGCACACACGCACAGACACACACCCACACACACCGGCACAGACAGAGAGCTGGGCCTACAGCATGACGGACTGTGTTATGGTGGCACCTCTTTAAAACTGGGTGAGATGTGGCACCAATGTTCACAGCACCATTGAGGCGGGAAGAGGAACAGATACTGACAGTGATTTTCAATGAGACTGCAAGACACAAAAATACACCCCAGAAATTAAGAAGCCAGAACACAGCCGAGAGAAGGCTACTGTATGAATGGAATACATGCAATACATTCTCTGCCCAATGCACACTTAAATACGTATACATATTACACTGTCTTTCTCTCGCTCTGTCTCTCTCTCTCTCTGTCTCTCGCTATGTCTCTTGTTCTCTTTCTCACTGTTTTGTTCTCTCTCTCGCTCTCTCCCTTGCTTTCTCTCATTCTCTCTCTCTCTTGCTGTCTCTCTCTCTCTCGGCCTGTGGAGATCCTGACACTCCGGGGGGCAGAATCTCCTCTGAGAGGGCAGCAGGCGCCTGTGGCCTCCTTCATGCCAAGCCCTGCTCATTAAACACGAGAGAGGTCCCTCTGCCTCCTCTAATTAGGAATGACGCTGCTCTGCTCCGTGACTAACTGCAGTCAGACTCCAGATGTCAACACTTTATCCAACAGCGTAGCAGACAGGAAGAAGCTTCCTGTCACCACGTGTCTAATGGGTGTATATGATTTTATGAGTGACGCTCCGCGTTGACTTACACATTGAGGAAGAGAAACATCTCATGGTCACCTCAAGCATCCTTGAGGTATTTGTTTAGCACACATGTGTTACCAACCTGGACTCAGGGGTAGATGGAACATAGTACATGTAAATCTGTCTCCCTCCATTTAGTATGATATGTTACATTTCGTATGGTATGTATTAATTTGTGGATATCCATCATCAATTTCATATGATATGTTACAAATTCAAATGTATTGTGGCTAACGTTAGCTAGGTGGCTATGTGGCTAATGCTAACGTTAGCTAGGTGACTAACGTTAGCTAGGCTTGGGGTTAGGGTTTGGGTTAAAGGGTAGGTAGCATAAACGTAACCACATGTAACATATGGATTTGCATCAAAAGTCCCAATGCAAAGTTACACCTCCAGTTCAGACCCAGAAGTCAGCCCCTCTCCAGGTTCGGGGTCTCCCACACCAGGGTCCAGACAGGGCTTGGTGCATCGTGGGAGAAAGGAGAGGGGAAGCATCGCGCCGAGGTCCAGACCAGACCAGGGCCGCAACGGGGAGGCAGAGAGGGAGAGGTCGTCACGCCCGGAGCCGGATCCGCCTCCAAGGCTGAAAGCCCACCCGGACCCTCCCCTGTTAGGTCAGGTTTGAGCGGCCGGAGTCCGCACCTTTGGGGGGGGGGGATACTGTCACGCACTGACCTATGGAACTCTTGATTGTTGAGTCAGGGTGTGAATGTCTATTT